GCGCGCGATCTTTAGGGTCCACGGCGACCCTTCTGTTAAACGAATTCCTCCCCAGAGCCGCACATATCACTTAAAGCTCTTACTCGAGCCGTTAAACCGTTGCTCGAAAGGAAACCGGTCGAGCCCGTTAATTTGTCCGCTCGCGTAACTCGCCTAACGATTTCAGCAAAACTCGCGCTCTTTTGACGATTCTGAAAGGGAGGCCAGATTACCGTATCACACACTTATCGGTGCAAAATTGTTTATGCGTCGTCGTTTATTAAAGTATATGACGTGATGAAACACTGCTCATTGCGGTGATGTATGACGCATGACACCATAAATTATAAGCGCGTCACGCGGCTGCATCGCGGGCCATATTTACATCGCGTAAAATTAAAATAAACATCGACGCGGGCGCGCGAACGCATCGACGTACCATTTGTCCCGAGCCGGTATTACGCGCGCGACAATATGTTACACTTTCTATTTAACTATGCCGTTCCGCGAGATATATTGGCAGGGAGCGGATTAGATGATTATATTAAAAAAATAAAAAATAAAAAGGAGAGATTTATCAGTACCGACCGCGACCATTAAACTCGTGCGATCCAATAGATCGCGTTCATTCTTTTATGCAACGTTCTGATATATGTGGGACATGAAATAAAAATTCCCTCGACTTTGTGGAAATTAATAAAGCGCATCATTCATTTGGAAAAATGCGAACAAAATGTTAGACGATATCGGATGGTATTTTAAGATATTTTTGGACCGTCACACCGTTCCTTTGGGAATTTCAAATTTTAACTTTGAAGTTTTAGCTGTATATTGATGGATTGATACTGTTTATACGTCTGTAAAGTTAGAAAACAATTGACCATTCGGAAATTAAATATTCGTAAGTAAAGATGACACTCTTTATATGTATCCCTTCAGAGATTAATATCTTATTTTTAATTTTTTCTAAATCACATTAAAAATGTTAATTTTAAAATGTATGAATAAGAAAAACTATTGTAATATTAAGGGCTATTAGAGCGACATTTATACAAAAATTTCAGGATTATTAACTATTTTGTTTTGAAAAGATAACCATAGAAAATTACAATTTATAGTAATATTTGCGATATATGTATACATATATATATATATTTAAATATTTATATATCATTTTCTATTAAGTGCATACCTTTATTAGTTCAATTGACGTATAAATAAAGCATTAATAAGAAAAATAAATAGTATCTCCATGTTTATAATATCACATATTTTTGCATATTTGTGCGTATTTTCTTTTTTAATTTCGCTAAAAATTAACATTTATTATTTATATACACGGAAAAAATGTTGTTGAATCAATAGCATTTCCAACAGCACGCGTAATTGGAGTAAATCTCGTTGATTCAATAGTGATGCGATTAAAACTAATACTTTAATTATTGAAACGATACATAACATAATAATTTTAATATTTGCTATTGAATTACGAAGATTTTCTCTAATTACGCTACTGTTGGAAACTTGATTGATTCAACAGTATTTTTGTTCCGTGTAGTTAAATGAAAGTTATAAGTTATAGGAAAGTACTTCTTTCAGTAACTAATAAACTTATGTAGGGGCCCCTTAATATCGTCAACTGAAAATCCGACGTTCTACGATAAAATTACTTTGATGCAATGAACACATTGTTTCATTTACGCTTCCTCCTTTTATGCTCGCGGAAACTAATTACGCGAGTCAAACCGCGTGTATTCGACGTGTTTTCGACGTTTCCTTCCTTAAACGACGCGTTTCCGATAAATGAGCGTTTCCCCGGCCTTCTTTCGAGGACTTTTCCAATCGGTGAGTTACTGTTTACCGAGCGCAAAACAAACTAGTTGCTTAAAACAAAAAAAAAGCGCGCCTTTGCAGCTTGTACAACCAGATTTCGCAATTTCGTGAAACGTTCGAAACTTCGGCGTTCGAAACTGCGGCGTAACGGCGCGTACCTGGAGAGTTCAGGGACGAGGAATTCCGCCCTCCGAATCGCACGCGTTTTACATAAGAGAGACGGATACATATTTCAGGGACTCTACGGGGAATAGATGAAGAAGAAGAAGACTCAGGGATCGAAGGTGCGAGAGGAAAAGATAGATAGAGAGGGAGAGAGAGAGAAAGAGAGAGAGAGACGGAGAAGAGAAGCACGGTGCGCAATGTCGCGCCAAGACCGAGTGAGAGGATCCGACTCTATCTTTCACATCGCGGAATGCCGGCGAGTTATTTTAGGCCTTCACTCCCATCCCATTCTACGGAGGCACGTTTACGCGACGTAACGAAATAATGAAGAAGGGGCGCCCTTTGCCACCACGGCAACACCCCCGCCCCCGTTGTCTTTCGACGACGGGAAAGAATCTTCCTCTCTGCGAACTCGCCATCCCTCTCTCTCCTTCCAACCCGCCCCTTTCTCCGCACTTTTTCCCTCTTTCTCTCTCGTTCTCTTTTATGATTCTTAAAAGAATACCGGGGCACGCTGAAGAGGAGACTTTACGATGATGAAGAGCGTCGTGACATTTTCCGCGCATAAATACTTTTTCCATTAGAAGGGGCATAGAGTAGAAACGTGAGCCCTTGTTCTAGGAGCCCGCCTCTTTGTACCCGTAAACAGCCTTTTTAAAGCTGTGCTTATGAAAAAGTTACGGGTTATCCACGGTGACGCGCGAGCGACTCACATTTTTCGGAGCACTCACCGGCCGAGGGCCGACACGAGATGCAATTAGCGAAACTGGATCCGCCGCGTTCTGTTTATTTTCGAGAAATCTTATCTTTCCTAATCAAGACGTTATCTTGAGGATTCCCGACTCGGCGACGACGAGGAGGAGAAGGAGTAAGGGGAGGAGGAAGAGAGCGTCTTCGAGAGCGTAACGTTTCTTATGTATTACGCCTCTCTAATATTATGCTTCCTTCGCCCTTCCGCTCGATTTCCCGTTACGAAGGCAGCCACTTGTATCGGGGTGCTCTCGCGGGACGTTTTTTCCATTATGCCGGGAAGTATCTCATTCTCAGCTTTCGTGAACAATGAAATTATGGAAAAAAGAAGCGAACCACAAACGGCACCGGATAAGCGTTAAATTGCATTTTCCGGTTGTTCCCCGCTGCCGGGGATCAAGACAGCTCGCCGGGGGAGACAGACGGGAGTTTCGAGTCGATGATTACTTAGAAAACGTCAGAAACATCTTCTCGGCGCGAGTGCGAAGGAATTCTCTCTGGTTCTCTCTTCTTTCTCTCCCCCTCTCTCTCTCCTCTCTTCCATTCGGCGTACAACAGCCGCTCGTTTTCTCGAAAAACGCGAAAAACATCGTCGTTCCGTTCGCTCCCTTTCCTTCTCTCGACAATCGCTAATCGGTCACCAGGTGAGTCGAGGGTTTTCCATTCGCGATATTTCCGCGGGCATTGCCGCGAATCTCGAGCGCGTCGCGATCGACTCAACCCGGCGCGCGCAAATGGTAACTCGGACGATCCAGGCGGAGCTCTGCCGCCGGAAGAGTTACTCAGTTACTCACGGTTGCGTAACACATTCGGCCGCGATCTAGATCAGAGCGGCATATAGTGCCAAATTTATCAGTATACGACGCTCTTTCGCCGTCCGTCAAGCGGCACAATGCGTTAAGTAACAATTACTGGACACAAAAGCAGCAGCGACGGTGCGGCCGCCCTCCTCGCCCCGTTGCTGCAGATAGAACAAGAAAGCCCCCACCATCTGGGCCGGTTACCCGCGGATAACGTTGATCGATGTTACCGCAAACCGCCTCTTGAATATGTTAATTAACCCTGAAATGGCAACACGCAGTTCCGTACGATGTGTGTAAACAAGAGCCGGGCAAACAAAACGTTTTAACGGATTGCCGATGGGTCGCGAGATTTAACCGTCCGGTATAATGCAGGCATTCGCGTAGCCTCTGTTAACGATGCGAAATGAGCAATCGCAACATAGGCGACCTACTTTCAAGTTAGCCGGGTAATTATCCAGCGGCGTGCGCGCGAGCGAGCGAGAGAACATTGTCGCGTTTCGCCGACGCGATTAACAGCCGCGTTTCAGCGGCAATATCGCGGCCATCGTCGCTGTCGCTGAAAAAGGCGCCTCGCGAAGAAAACGCAGTACTGCGAGAGAATAGTAACGGATGAGCGAATGCGTGGACGATGAATCGTACGATCCCTTCAGCTGTCGGATATGCGCGCGGCGAGAAAGTGCTCCGCGGAAGAGCCGGAAATCATCGGGGAAGTGCTCCCCCCTCCCGCGGACGGTATAATGGCGTATTAATAACAACGTATCGCAATTTACAACGCAAATCGATAACTTCGTATTGCAATTTACAATGCAAAACTCAACGTGACCAAGGTCGAGAGCGATAAAATAACAGCGTGACGCGAGAGAGATGGGAGTCGCTACAATCCAGTCACCGAAACAAAAGAGATGACATAAGCTACTTCTTGGCAAAAAAAGGTGATCAAGTGGTCCCTCAGATATCAAAATAGTGGCTAAAAGTGATATTTTTTGCCAAATTCCGAGAGTAACTAAAGCTACTTGAGCAACAAACTTAACTTAACATGTACTTTTATATCTTTAAATAATTCAACGCATAGCGAATTCTTTTCACAGTAAGGTTTGAAAGTTCGCAACAAGAACGAAAAAAGGCCAAAAGCAAGTACGCTTTCGGAGCAGTTTTACCAAGAGAGGCGTCGAAAATACAGCGGGTTTGTCAGCGGCTTGTCAAGAGAAAATAGTGAAAAATAATTTTAAGTGACTGAATGGCAGCGCTGAAATAGAAATAAATAAACGGACGGAACGCGCAAAGTGGCGCCGAACGGTATATCGCGGATACCTTCCTCCGCGGTGCTCAAATGTGCGCTAAAAATTGCGCGCGATATTGAACTTAAAATACAAAATACACAAGGGATTTCTCTTTATACATATACGATGTTTTTTCTCTTTTCAAAGATAAATCCCGCTTTGCAGCGTAAAAGATAACAAAAACACTCACGTGTTTTCCTTCTGGTCGCCGTTGGCCGAGTGCGACGGGGACGGCTGGACCTGCTGCTTCGAGTACGGATGGTGGTGGTGCACCACGTTGTTGTTATTGTTGTTGTTGTTGTTATGCATGTGCACCTTGTTGGCGTTGCTGTCGGTGGGTGAGCCCGGCGAGATTTTACCCGCCAGAGCGTTCAGCGACTGTAGCATTTTCATGGGGGTCCGCCTGGCGACCGGCTCTCGGTGCCTCCCTCGCTCGAGTTCGTTTATCCTTGAGGAAGACAGGATTATTGTACGCTTGCGGTTTGAAGGCGTCAACCCTCAAACTCTACCGTACGTGCGCGAGAACAGGCAGGCTTCGACACCTCTAAAGCGTACGGTCTACGCGCGAACGACAAACACACCCGCGCACACCTTTCCGCTTTCGCTTTCGTTTCCTCCCGCGGCGATTCGCTCGCGGCGGATAGTTCCGATCCACCGGTCGGGAGCTCAGCACAGGAAGAAGCACACACTCATCACACGTGGACTTAAAGCGCGCCAAAGCGGCGAGGACGACGAAGACGACGCAAAAGCGGCGCGCCCGGTGGAAGCACGCTCCCGTGCTGAAGGAGCCTCGCGGAGTTCTCGCGCTCGATCGTTTTTACGTCCCTTTCGTACGAACTCGAGATCGTTACAGACGAGTATCGGAGGAGCGTTGTATTAGGAGATCCACGCTGCGACACGATCCCAGATGCGAATACGAGACCCTGTGGACAAGTACCGGTGGCTGATAAGAGTCTTATCAATATTCACGGAATCGATTGGTTATCGGGGGATACGCATCGCTCGATTTAATCGGGGCTGTTTCGGCTCGCGCTCTCGATTTCGGACTCGCGCGAGGGAGAGAGACAGAAAGAGACAGATTGAGAGAGACGCCGGTTGCTCTCCCGCCGGCGAACTAATTGCTGCGACAACAAATACGACGAAATAATCGCCGATACGCGTCGAGCGCGTACAAACAACGCGCCTATCTATTTCTGCTCCCCCTTCATATCTCGCCCGGCCGAGCTCGTTTATCTCCGCACGCATGGTAACGCCGGTCTATCCGCAGGTGCGATACCGTACGACCATCTCCCACGGATATAACGTCCTCGACTGCGAAGTGCACGGAGCGCGTGTTCGCCGTCGTAATTTGGGGACGCGCGGCACGTAAAATACGCCGAGGACAAGGGAAACGCGCGGGAACGAAAGCCGAGGGGAGTGAAGGGATATATAGGGAGGACCGACACCGTGGAGGAAAACTGGCTGAGCGGGCGGACGCGTGCGAAGGCCTCTTACGAGAAACTGCTTTACAACGAGTCAATTAAAAGTTTAAGTTTAATTAGAAACTCGTGCGCGAGCGGGAGAGAGGGTCGGTATCGCCGTCCGATTTTCTTCCTTCTGCACACCGCCCCTTGCCCCCCGACGCCGCGGTCGTTCGCTCCCGTCCTTCCCCATCTGCGTAGCTGCCGAGACCCGGGTTAACTTAAGCGAGCTACCTTTCTTTCTCGCGCGCGCATCTCGCCGGTCAACTTCGGCGGCGCGCGCGCTCGAGGAACGAATTCGAATTAGTTTCCGCGCGCGAAGAAGCGCGCTCGCCGGCAGATTCGGCGCGTCCTCCTGAACCTTCGGCGGAACCGAGACGGAGGGAACTTCGTGGCGGGTGGATCTCTTAAGGATGTATCGTCCATAAGAGAAAATTATAAATTGATCTACACGAGAAATCTTTGACTCAGAGCCTGAATCAAAATTTACTCCATTTTGAAGGAGGTTGCAAGGTGAAGTGACTTTGATGAGATTTCGGTGAAACTTGCACTGCGTATATATTGAAACTCTATAAGATCAACGGATGCATAAATACAGCATTAATTAGAAAAGACGAAAATAATCATATTTTTGTACTTGTAATATTGTGTATATATGACAATCTCAACTTCGTTTCAAATTAACATTATTTAGGTAATAAAATAAATGTATGGAGGAACATAATTTTGATAAGTACTAAATTTATAAGTAGTCTCTTTGATGTGCCACTATAAATGCGGCACTAATGGGCAATGCATCCTTAAGTTTCGAGCACGGGCTATATTCGGTATGACCGACTCGATGATCGCGAGTTATATTTTCGAATTGGACACAATTAACGTTTCAGAATCGAATTACGGGACTGTTATAGTTTCGTTGTTTGAGCGCACGATATGACGTGCAAATTCGATAATATCGGGAAGATATAAATATAACTCGTCCCAAATTTTAAGTCACTATATGAAAGAGAAATGGATATTCGTAGTCTTATAAAAGATTTTGGTAACAATAACTGTGACAATTTTGTCATGATCCCGTTACCTTTGTTTACCGAAAATTTGTGAACATAAACGCAATAGAACATTCGCATACTGTAGTTTGTACACAGAAAAAACTGCTAGAATCAAGTAAATATAATGATCTGTTTTTCAACCTTTTATATATATAAATCAAGTAATATTTTTATCAGTTTAAGTATATCTTAACAGTTTGTAGTAAATACTTATTTGAACGCAATAATACCTTAATTTATGAATAAATTACCTAATGGTTTTAAATTCAGATTTTTCTGTCCAGAGAGAGTAAATATTTTCTAAAAATAAATTCTAATATTCTCAATCTATTATAAATACTTGTCGCAGCTGCTTCAACACATACAAATAAATGTCCAATTACACGAGGAAAATATCATACTGTATCATAATTAATTATATCTTTACTTTTCTAGTAAATATTTGCCAAGGAGTATTGGAGTAACAATTTTATTTGAATCAAGTAAATATTACTTGAACGACAGCACTTTTCTTTCGATGTAAACCTTATCACACGTCTGTTTATAAATGCATTTCGTAACTTCAACACGTTCACGGTTCATGAATCACACGTGAGTCACGGATAACGTAGTTCGTGTGTTTAAATCATTCTAGAACTGTGAACGTGTTAACATTCTATGAGAACATATATCTGCCATTAGTCACCGGCCATGCGAGATCAACGAGATCGAAGAAGAATTTTACCGGCGATTATACAGAATAAAGCGGATTTCGACAGAGAAAGAGAGGGAGAAACGAATGTGGATGTAATTCGAAGTGGATACATCGACTCCACATACGGAGACCTGCCGCTTTTATAAAACCGAGGAGCGAGAACCGAACGGGTTACTTGCGAATCTGCCATTACGCGACGAAGAATGAAAGAGAAGTTGAACAGAGGTGACGGGACGTAAGAAACAAGAAGGGATTCCGGCCAGCCATGGATTACGTTTGAAGGTCCGCCGAGGGCGAAAAGACGAAGGGCGCCGGAGAGCCGCCGGTGTGAAGGCGAGCGCGAAGCGAGAGAGAGAGAGAAGAGCGAGCTCTCGCGGCGAGGATGGGGCTGTAATTACCGGAACTGCAGTGGTTGTCAAATGTCAAAGAGGTCGCGCATAATTTAACACGTGAGGCGGAAGCCGAACAAAGCGCACAGGGCTGCAGCGTGAGCGCGGGAAAGATAAAGGGAAAATGAAGGAGACGCGGAGCGCTGTTCGCGGCTTACGAGAAGCGAGAGAAAGAGAGCGAAAGCGAGGAGGAGGCGAGAAAGAGGCGCGAGGGTGAGAAAAAAAAATGAGAAAGAGAGAGAGAGAGAGAGAGAGAGAGGGGGGAGGAGAAGGGGGAGCGAAGCAGGAGAGGATAGAGAAAGTGTATCTTGATATGCCACCTAAGCCTTTTGTCCCGTACACATTTTCGCCTCCCCGTCCCTCGACTTTCCCTCCTCTCACCTTTTCCACTCCCCCTCCCCCCCGCCTTCTGCCAACACCGTCGATGCACGTCGACACTCTTTGTCGCCGGCCACTTGACGCGCTAAAGCGTCAAATTAAAAACTCGAGACAAGCTGGAAAGGCCGATTAGTTGCTCTCTCGCGGCGGCGATTGCCCGTTATCGTTCTCGCTCCACTTTACGACGACACGTTTACCGTCTTCCCGCTCACCGAGGCCATGTACACTCTCTTCCCGTACCTTCTGGAGAACCCTCTCGGGGACACCCGCGGTATCACACACCGGGCGTCTGATCCGGAGAAGCGAGACACTCAAGACACCTCCTCGTTAATGGTGGTGGCGGTGATGCTGCTGCCGTTCACGAATGACGCACGAATCACGATATCACTGCGACCTGAGCGACGATCTCGTCGACGGCACCTGAACACTACGACTGACGACGACTCGGCGACGAGCGCAGTTGTCGGCCATCGTATCTCCGGATAAGCCTTATCGGTGCCCGAAGACCCCACCCTCCGTCCGTGGGCCGCATCCCTCGCGTGCTCTTTTTTATGACACTCGCGTACGTTCCCGGCTGCTACGTCGACGCGCCAACTCCGCGTTCGCGCAATTTTCTCGTTACCGTCGGCACGCACGTTTCTTTCTTCCGTTCCCTCTTTTTATTACGATCGCCCGAATGCACCTTCGTCAGGTACCAGCGCCGAGCACGTCGCCTGAGTCACCAGCTTGTCCCGGATCGTCCCGATGAGGAAGTTGGAGTCTTCCTTTCTCTCTCTCTCTCTCTCTCTCTCCTTTTCTAAGGAGACATGCGGATCGTTCACGCGCGATCCTGGCGATGCGCCATGGCGTGATCGCCCTGCGACGTTTTGGGTAAGCGAGAGTCGCGTTAAAGAGCGCGTTTCTCACGGTGTCCCACGATGGCGAGTGCGCGCATTTCGTTCCCCACGCGGTATCGCTTATGGTCCATGAAGGAGGGAGGGGACGGGATGCCGCGTCGGTTTTACGACGTCGCCATGTCGGTCGTCATCTGCAAAGAATGGTCACACCTGTTAAGCCGTCTGCCGGCGCGTCTCACGTGAACGTAAGTTGAAGTCGTCCGGAAATCGCTGAGCGACGCGCAGTTCTCGCGTTAGCCTTCGCGCGATCGCGCCGGGACTATCAGAAGCGTTTGTGATCAGCCTCTGCGCGCGACATTCCGATCAATTACACTCTACCCCCCTCCCCCGTTCAAGAGATCGAGTTGAGGATCGAGACGGACGGTGGAGAAACGAGATCAAGAGTGGCAACTGTCGGCTGAGATCGGACAGAAAAAAGTGAAATCGGCGAAGGAGTTTTGATGTAATTAGCGTAGGCCGTGCGTGCACGATGACGTGTGCGAAGGAGTCCTCGGGGCGACACATAGAGCGGACGTGCGCGGCCTAAAAGCGCCCTAACAGCTTGGGCTAAGAGCGAAGGAATGTTCGTCAATATTTTCTCACTACCGAGGCGATGAAGCAGACACCGGGAACGTCGTTCCCGGAGATTAGATAAGACTCGGAACGCTCCGTCGCGCTGCAGTGACTTGCACAACGATGTCGTCGTCGACGACGGCGCGAGGCTGGCCCTCGAGAGAAGACGCCACCGTTCTCGAGAACGGCGGCGCGCTGTTACCGCTGCTGCAGCATTCGTGGGTGCAACGGCACGGGAGATATTTGACGTTTATTGCATAAGTACGTGCCTGATAATGTGCGCGTCAAACCGTTAAAAGCAGGCGAGCGGGAAATATTTAACGGATGTATGGCCGTTTGTGCCGTAAATTACGGCATTATTGCCGGGAGACGGCCGGGACGACGTCGAGTGACACTCGTCACGCGCCTTTTTCCGATCGAAAGCCTTCGTATAATAATAATAACTCAGGAACGCGACCGCAGCGTAAATCTTTTCGAGTGCCGAGTTCGAGGTTTACGCACGCGATATGTGCGCATGGCGTGACGTACGATTGATAAGCGCGCCCGTAGAAGCGCTAATAAAACGGTGAGATGAAACCGTAGCTCGTGTGTGTGTAGAAAACGTGAGTAGAAGCGAGCGTTCGGCATTAATTGTCGTCGCGATCTCGGTAAAACGCGGGGGAGACTCCATTACCGGAGGGGCCCTCGCCCCGATTTGCGGAAAATGATCGCCGGATGATTTCCCCGGATGATCCCCGTGCGATTGACTCTGTTTATTTCATGATCGACAGCTTTCGAGAAATACGCGGATTTCGAGATTGTTCCGGAGATCCGAATTGCCGGCGAGAGAGCGGGCGGGCGAGCGCTCTCTCCTGCATATTTCACGACTTTATTGCGTTACACGTCATTTGACAAGTAAATAATAACAGATCGATGAATAATATCAGCAGCCGTAGGTCCGTGAAATATTACAACGCGCGCGCAACCGGGGCATTATTCAATACAGCAATTAAAAATTCGTTCCGATTGATATTACGCGCGCTCTCGCATCTCTGATGTATTTCATTCCGAAATTACGTTACCGAGCGGAATTGATAACGAAATTGTTGCTGAGCCGATAAATGCAACGGATGCAAAGTGTAAATATTTGACCATACAATATTTTCGCCGGGCGAAGCCTCCTATGAGATGAAAGTTTCCGTAGGAAATGGCCGCGTTATACCGTCAGCGCCAACTACTGAAACGAGTGAACGAGTTTCGGTAGCCGGATTTGCTCATCGGAAAGTATAATAAAGCCACGCGCTAACGGTAGTAAAAAGTTTTCGAAAATCGTACTCCAGTCTCGACGATGGCGATCCGCTTCGTTAGTTCCTCGTGTAACAATAACACACGCTAATTTCGCGAGACAACGTGCGAAGATGGAAGGTCGACGGATGCGACGTCGGTGACGAGAAGCGGCGAGTGAGAGTAGCGGGAAATCTAAGTAGAGAAGAAAAAGCTCACAATCTCAGACTCGAAAATAACAGACAGATAAATTTATTCCGCGCTCTGGGAAAAATTCCCTTCAAGCGCAATTTAAATATAATATCTAAGTAAACTAGGCAAGAAAGCTACCGAAAAAATTCGATTGTGCCGTTTGGAACATGTGAAATGTGTTAAATTTACACACAATTTTTTACTGTGTAGTATCACTGATTTTCATTTTGTCACTGGACTCTGAAAATTACTATTAATCAACGTTTGAATTTAGACTCTTCATGAGTTGTTTTTCTTTTTCTCATATATTATTTTATATATTATTATGGTGGAATTAAAATGTTTCCCTCAGTAAATTATGTACTTGGCTTATGCGAAACCGATGATTCCCATATAAATAAATAAATAAATAAATAAATAAATAAACAAATAAATAAATAAATAAACCAATGAATAAAGAATTAAAATATAGAGGGAAGGCGGAATCGTCGATATGCGATATCACACGCGATGCGAATCACAAAATGACTCGCGAGTCATCGTCCGAGGACTTATTCCGCAGATGAGCGCGCAAATGCAGTGTAGAGACGGCGAAACGCGTTGAAGACGTAAGTAACCGGCAGGTATAAGCAGGTCTGCGCGCGAAGTGTGTGTCTAGTTCTCGACCGAAATAACAATGCAGGCGGTAGGATAGTATCGTTATTGCATAGCTAAGCAACCACCACTTGTTTGCCGGGGCGGAACAGCCGCGTTTGCCGACCGACAAAGAGGTATTGTTCTTTCGAGGGATCTCTCTGGCGCGCTTGGTGCTCCTACTATTTACACGGCCTAACTCAACATTATATCCCAAAGTTCGCGCTGCTCTCCACGAGCGACGTATTTCCACCCGGCGGAGTCGCGCGCTCGCGCTTCTCTCTCGCGCGTGGGCGTGCGCGAACGCGAGACAAGATCGTACTTCTAATGCGATTTATCTAATCTATTTATCTCTCCCGAGTCCGTGAGCTCGCGCACAGAGAGGAGCACAACAAACGTCTGCCGATCCAATTACACCGGCGAACGCTGCGCGCTTCGCTATGTAGGTCGACGGTGAATTTTTCGGTTAATGTGAGCCATTCGCGCCGCTTATAATTGAAGACGAGAATCGGGGGAAAATATCTCGAGAACAGCTATCTTTTCATCTGAATACTAGTTAAAGAGCTTGTATACCTCCGCCGCCGTCCTGTTTTCGGGGGCACATCTTTTTTTCGGCCGCGCATACTGGGACTATTTGAGGTAATTCAACAATTACGCGCTAGGCTAATTTACGTATTTTTTATTTCCTCCCCTTTTCCCTTCGTCACAGTTTCGTTAGAAAGTACTTGCTCCTTTCTAATATTACGTAATATTGTGGAATTCACCCCCCTCCTCCCAGTCGACACATAGAAGAAAAATAGCTTATAATCTTGTTGCGAATAATAATTATTAGACGACACGCTACCAGCTTTTTCTAAATTACAAATAATTTTTAAGTATATAATGTCAAATTAACTTTATTTTATAATTTTGATTGGTAAAAGTTATATTAAAACAAATAAATAAGTATTTAAAAATGAGCACTTTGATTATTAATACAAAATCATGTCGAAATTCAACAATTTTCACGAAGTGTAGCTAAATGTGTCACGACCCTCCCCTCCTTCCTCGTGATGTAACGTAATTATTAAATGGCCTTTTTACAAAAGAAAGTCCGATCGGGATTCGTAATAGCCGGGAGAGGGGGAGTAAGTCGCGGTGAACCCGATAGATACTCCTATAAACGCCGACATACATACAAATAAACAAAAAACCCGCCCATGAATTCGCGGAAATGTTTTTCTCATTATTCGGGCGCGGATATCGATGCGGTCCTCTTTCCCTCTCTCTCTCCCTCTCTCGATATTTCCAACGAACGTAGAAACGATGAAACTCAAGCAGAAGAACTCGCGAGCCCGATGCCCCATTCGCGAGAACTTTCCGCGGAGTGCTCCAAAGTCCGGCCAGTCCGGATAAGTTATCGTCCCAGCTGGATCTCGAACAACAAATCTCTCGAGGGTGGCAGCGCTTTATCCAGCGCGAGAACGAGAGTCGCTCGCGCGCACTGCTTCTCGAAAGTCGACGAACGAGGAATTTACCGGCGGCCGTTCGCGAAAAATACGACGACGGTTCGATAAACGTTCGATTTGCCCGGAGCCTGCGTGGCCGGATGCGCGCGCCGAGCAAAATCAATTTCGCGAATTAATTCCAGCGACGAGTTCGACTGAGATTTTTGTCGCGCGTCGATCCTCTTAACGATACAATATTGGCCAATACTGTTCAGCCGATGAGAAGCGCGTTGCTTGTTGGAACGACGATAAAATTACAATTACACAGCGGCGTATTTATCTGGGAATATCCCGCGCGCGCGCGCGCACGTTATAATATCTCGCGTTCTGCGCGTCGTCGTAATACCGTGAGCGTTTTTCCTCGCTGGGCGAAATTGCGCTCATCGCGCCTCATTTAGTAAATGCGTCTCTGACCCGATTACAAATATTCCCCGCGATCGAATCTTTTCCACCCCGGTGTGCTGTTCAATACATTAAATACTTGTTTCGCATTTACGCGGCCGCTCGCCCGCGAGCTCGGCACGAGGCTCGCGCGGCTGTAAAAGTTACAACGGCGAATGTCCGCGCGCGAGAATTCCGGTGCGCGCCGAAAAAGATACTTCACCCCCGATGGAAATGCGGATATACGGAGGTACGGATGCAGAGTGTGAAGATGAAAAGTTACAAGAATGTTATTACCGTCATGAATTGCCAAAGGCAGGTTGCGTTTTCCGACCCGTCGGAAATGTTCCCCCGCGGTTCGCGTCGCTTGCGTTTTGCTCTTCAAATCCCGTTCCCATTTTCTACGTCGAAATGTGACGCGAAATCTCATCGAGAGGCACCGACATAATGCCGACGTAAAGCCGGATACACACGCGCGGACGGGTCATTCGCGCTCTGGAAAATATTGATGAAGCATCGATGTTCCGACGCGATGAACAACACTCGGCGGCGAGCGGTATTTAAGGAAACATTTTTCGCGCGATCCTCTCTTCGTTTTCCAGTTCAAGAGGGAACGTACGTTA